GAATGCGATCGGTGTTTGTAGTCGGTCAATGTGATTAATCGGGCTACGGTCCTGAACATATGTTGAGAAAATGGCATCACAAGTGAATTGGAGTGCTACTGAAGCAGGCAGCACTAACCTTGTAGATTCGTTCTTCTTCTGGATATTTACCAATAAGTGTTTGGTTGTATCCACGTTCGAATTTGTGTGTATCCTAGAATCATCGTCTTCTACAGCTGTTGGTAACTCTTTCAAAAACTCGTAAAATTAAAAATTTAGGAAGAAAATGTAGGATCGATGGAAAATTCAAACACCTTTGCTAGTCCTATTAGGTCTGCCACTCCGTACGCGCAGACCGCTGCTTTGAAGACGTCCGAGTGAATCAGGGCGGATAGTACGAGATAACTGAAGGAAGGAGTCCGGTCTGGTCAGGATTTTCAAGTAGTAGAAATGACATTCGATTGGAGATGAAGCAAATTTGTTATTTTGCTAGCTAACGAAAGAAAAGAAAAGCAAATCCGAGCTAAAAAAGTTACTCAGTGAAGGTAGAAATGCTTGATCGAAGAAACAACATCGACCAGAGCTTTGTTCCCGATAAAAAGCCCATGCTGGCTCTTATTTTGATACTAGGAGCATTGGAGCTATGAAGGTGGGGATTCATTGGTCTATTCGAACAAAGATCCAGAGAATGTAAAGAAGAATTCACAGTTGCAAGCTCTTGAACATTGTCAATGATTATGAGATACTCACCCTCCTGCTGAACTCCCTTGAATGCACACTTTATCAGCGTCAACAAGTCGCCGTGCAATTACCGAACGAGCTGCTGCAATCATGTCATCGCGGTCGACCACACCCCACTGACCTTTCAACCTGTAACCAACTCTGCTGTAATACTTTCAAGTATGTTGTGACGAGCAATATGAATTGTTTAACCTCGATCAAAGGTAGTAACGCTGAGCGCACTGCAAATTGATGCAAGAGCTGGACAGGCGGTACAGCGTTACTCCTAATTACATTGGTTCACTAGCATAATGGCGCTCGATAAGCTTTGCCGTCATTGAGTCACAATCAGTGCAATTATTGTCTTCAAGGAATCATAAGTGCGTACAGCTTGACTTAGATGGGTCATTTTACCACTTTTGACTTCCATAACAACGAGCTAATCAAATATGGTGACATTTCTAGCCGACTAAACGGAAAGTAGCGTAGGTCGCTACAAAATGTCAGCATAATAATTATAATTATGCCTCAGAAAGATAGAATCTAAAGTTCTCACATATTTCTGAAGTTGGTGCCAAACCCAGTCGATCCACGATAGTTAACATCCAACACAGCAAAACCTCGTGAAGTGAAGAACTGCTTCTTCAAGTCCAGTGAGTTCACAGCAACAGCAGTTGGACCACCATGGCCAAGAACCAGTACTGGTGGCAGCATAGCCGCTGGCCCGGTAAAGTGGCGATTCTGAAAAGATGTGACAATGGCTGATATCTACGGTTAGAAAGATGTGGGACCGGTTTTTTTTGTGCAATCGCTTAACTTCTAGCACACTTGCTCTGCTGGTTTAAAAATGGTGTGTGATTTGTTCATATACATATACGAAGACATTAAATACAATTTAGGGTTCCTATTGGTGAGCCCTTCAGCCACAATCAAAACAGGAGGAGAGATGAACAAGAAGCCTCGGTGGCTAACAGGCTCGGGCAGTGTAAAAGCTACATTTTGAACGTTTGCTCGGTTCCTCTTACCTTAGGCTTGTAGAACCAAGCTGACACCGGAACACCGTCGGATTGGAATTCCAGATGCTCTGGTTCGGAAATGTCGAGGGCTTCTATATCTTTGTCATCACGTGCGGTACGTATCACATCAATAGTCGGCTCCGATTCCTAAACGAAACTGGGACTATTTCGCTTTGGGATTCATCTCTTCACAAACGTACTTCTTTGGATAAATCGATTTGCAACACACATGATGCCTTCCTCGGGCCAGATGCGATCGCATAGGCCACATCAGCATCAGTGATGCTTAGATGTGAGAACACGGTGTATCCTGGTGTTGGCACTTCCCTTACGGCCATGTCTCGTCGTAGCATAAGACGCCCGTTGACATTCATTATCTGAAGCCGAATCCATAACAAGACAGAAGAAATGGAAAACAAAATTTGCGGTGAAATACATGTTGTAATGCTTAATCGAGTCCAAGATATTATGATTTTGGAGATGGTAAAGAACACTGATGAAAGGATGGAATAACTAAAGCCTATAGATTGAACTCACAATACAGGATCCATTAGAGGCATAGGGTCGATCGGCAAGTTGCCAAAGCGGATATCCAATTTCATGATCGACAGGGAACACGCTTTTTTCCTTAACTATAAGGAATATCTTTAATCATCAAACTTCCACGGCATTTTTATATTCCCTCCAATAATAATGAAAAAAGATAACCTAAGCGTTCCATAGAAGAGCTTCAGGAAAATTTCTCACAAAACAAACTCACACTCTTCTCCAACGTCCACTTCGTAGAGATTCCAAAAATTGGTAGAGTCATTTATCATAAGTAGGTATTGTTCTTCCCAACTAGGACAATAGTAGTTGATCTGAAATATCTCATTACCATTTATATTGTTAGATAACGACAAATAAGTTTATAGCAGTTGATAATTACCTTCTTTCCTGTACCATCTTTGACAACAACTTCATTGGAAATGGTACCATCGTCATTTAATACGGCAAGGTGAATAGATGTCTCGTCCCAAGGCTGAACGAAATGAACCTCCCCGTTAGATAGTTTTTTTTTTAAGAAGAGTTATACTTCATTGGTGATACCTCACCATGTTCACATGATTCCACTGCATCCATACTATTCTCTTACCGTCCGCCGATACGCGAGGCGAGGCATAGAAATCTGCTCCGCTTGCCTAAAAAATAAAGTTTTTACAACAAAAAAAAAAAACAAAAACATATGTGAGCAAGAGAATTTGATCATCTCTAATGGGTCCTGCGGTATGTTTGGGAAAGCGTTTGAATTTTATAAGTAAAGTAGT